TTCCATCTGCCACCTACTCGCCCACTCCCCTCGTCTGTGTATAACCAGTTGCAATCTTTTTGCATCATCCTCAGAGCTCACTCTCCCACCGAGTTCAGTGTCATCCATGAATTTAGATACGTTACATTCAATGTCCGCGTCTGGATGATGATACACTCACACACAGAAAGAGAGACAGAAAGACAGAGTGAGAGACAAGTAGCGAGAGACACATAGAGAGTGAGACAGACAGACAGACAGACAGACAGACAGAGAGTGAGAGAACACCCACACTTAAGACAGTCAGACAGTGAGATAGAGTGAGACAGAGAGTGAGATAGACAGACAGAAATAATCTCCATCTCCCCGCTCTCACACTCTCCCTCTCTCATACACTCTCCCTCTCTCTCTCCTCTCTCGTCGTCCAGTCTCTTTGAACTCATACAGTCTACGATGACAGTCCAGTGTGGTGCTGGGGGAGTGCTTGGTTGTCAGAGACACCGTCCTTGGATGAGATGTTTGGACTGAGGTCCCCTCTATGCCGTGTTCCGGTGAATGTTAAAGATCCTCTGGTGCTACTCAGAAAGAGAAGGCAGTTTCTCTCTCCCCGTGTCCTGCCCAACAAACCCCCAAATAAAATTGGTCACTCACTCCATGGCTGTTTGTGGGTCATTGCTGTGTGCAAATTGGCTGCTACGTGCACCTACAAATACACAGTCACTACACTTTACAGTAAATCCTGTGAAGCATTTTACCAATACGTATGAAACGCAGGGATAATTATATCTTGTCATAGTTGAACCATTTAAAATCTTATGTCACGTTCCCTGCGAGACGCCTCTCTCTAATAATCGTGGCATTTGGTCGCGAGTCTCATCACATTGTCAAGATGTTCCAAAGCGTTTCACAGGATTTATTTGTGGGCGAAACGCGGCAGCCGATCGCGCACAACAGCGTCCCACAAACAGTCGTGGATTGAGCGACCAAATTATTATCATCAATTTTTTTTTGGAAGGGTTTATTACCCCTATAGCAATCTGCCAATCAACTAACAGCCAAGTTCCTACTCACTGCTGGTAAACAAAGACTTGTGGATTAAAGAAACCTCTCTAAGGTTTCGATCTGCCCAGGAATCAAACCCAAGTCCTCTCGAGCGCTCTAACCACTGAGCTACAGGGCGGAGGTTGTGGAGTGATGAGATCAGATGGGCTGATTCTCTTCATCCGAACTGATCTGCGATCTTGACGAATGTTACTGTGGAAATGGCAGACCTGCCCCGACCACACCCTGGGAAACAGCCTGAATAGCAGTTTCTGTTTGCAGGTGTTTCATCTTTCCCTTTTATGTCAAAAAAACCCTAAATCCTCGCTTTAACTCTCCCGATCCCAAAGTGTTTGGAGGCCGGAGGCCGGAGGCCGGAGGCCGGAGACAGACGTGGCTTTTTTTTTCTCTCTTAGCATTTTGAAGGTTTGAACAGTCCTCAATTTTGAAGCTGAATTTTCCGGCAAATTATCATCACTCAAGGATTTGTTTGATAGAACATCTGTTCTATCTCAATGGCATCTCAAGGGCATCTCAATGCGCTTCACGGGATTTACCGTGAAGTGTAGTGACTGTGTATTTTATGGGCGAACGCAGAAGTGGGGCACAGCAACGTTCCCCAAACAGCCACGGAGTGAGTGACTGATTTTGTTTGAGGGATTGTCGGCCAAGACACCAGGAGAGAGAAACTCTCTTCTCTTTTTGAATAGCACCACAGGATCTTTAACATCCACCTGAACAGGTAGACGAGTCCTTGGTTTAACGTCGCATTCAAAGAACATAACCTCTGACAATTCAGCGCTCTCTCTCCTCAGTTTCTAACCCAGAGGCGAGATTGTGATCGGCTGAGACGAGCTGACGCATGTGTCTGAGACGGAGAGACTTCTGAGGAAAGTAACTTTTGGAAAAGGCGAGGTGGCGGAGAACATGTACAGACACGGGCTCGAGGGAGAGAAACAGCTCTGACTACAACACCAATTCCAGAACCAATTCCTTGCATTCGTGATAATATTCTAGCAATAATCCTTGCCATTTGATACAGCGCCTGATCACGTTGTCGAGACGGTTTACTGCGCATTTTGTGGGTAAACACTGCAGGCAATTTGCATACAACAATGTTCCATTAACAGCCATGAAGTGAGTGACTACTTTTGTCTGGGGATTGTCAGTCAGGACACCGGGAGAGATAAACTCCCTTCTTTTTGAGTAGTTGATTCATTTACATCCACCTGAACAGGGCACAGATGTGGCACTTTATCAGGTCTTAAAGCACTTCACAGGATTTCTTATAAAGTGTAGTGACTGTGCATGTGGAGGCAAACATGCAGATGGCAGCCCGCCTTGTCTCCCTTCCGGCTCAGGTTCCCAACTCCATCCTTGTCGGGTTTGGGACGCTCTTCCAACATGAAAGGACATCTCAGGGTCTCAGTCTGATTCAAGTCAGTCACACTGTTGCCTCTGAGTCAGAAGGTTGTGGGTTCAAGCCCACGTCAGGGACTTTGAGTGCACAGTCTGGGCTGGTTCTGGGGGGAGCACTGCATTGTTGGAGATGCCATTGAATGAGACACTAAACAGTCACTGCATGACTGTTTGTGGGACATTACTGGAACAAATTGTCAGCCGCATTTGCCCACAAGACACACAGTCACTACACTTCATAGTAAATCCCGTGAAGCACTTTGAGATGTCCTCCTGACATGAAAAGTGCTGTATTTTTTCCTGGTCAGCCGTGTCAAACCCAACATCTTCTGCCCACCCCCCCTCCACCTGGGGAGGAGCCAGGGGGAGGGGAAGGAGCCAGGGGGAGGGGGAGGGAAGGTGACAGTGGGTCGAAAAGAAAGGTTTGCAACAGAGACCAGGAGAGAGGAGGACAGAGAGGTCGGGGGGTGCAGAGGAGTGCAGGGACTTGAATACGAGGGTGAGGATCTTGAAGTCGATCCTCTCTGGGACAGGCAGTCAGTGTAGTCTGGCCAGGACTGGGGGGGTCGGGGAGAGGGGTTTGGTGCGGGTGAGAATGCGGGCGGCAGAGTTTGGGATGATATGGATTTTATGGATGGTAGTGGATGGGAGACCGGCGAGGAGGGCGTTAGAATAGTCCAGCTGGGAGGTGACAAAGGCACGGCATGGCGATGCGTCGGAGGTGGTAGAAAGCGGTGCTGATGAGGGACTGGATGTGGGGGAGGAAGGATAATTGGGGGGCGAACCTGAAGCCTAGGTTGCGTACGGGTTCGGAGAGTTTTAGGGGGAGGTCGAGAAGGTGGAGGAGGTGAGAACCGTGAAATTTTAGACGTTGATGAGAGCCGAAGAGTATGGCTTCCATCTTGTCAACGCTTAGCTGATGGAAATTCGCGCTCATCTGAGATCTGAGATCTGATAGGCAGGGGACTGGGGGTCGCAAAGTGAGGTGGAAAAATAAGAGTTGGGTGTCGTCTGTGTACATGTGGAAATGTACCCCATGTCTGTGGATGACATCCCCAAGAAGGAACACAGAGATCAGAAAGAGGAGGGGCCAAGGATGGATCATTGGGGTACCCACAGGTGACCGGGTGAGAGCGGGAGAAGCCGTTTGTGCAGATGTACCACTGGCGGTTTGTGAGGTAGGACTCGAACCCGGCGAGTGCGGTCCCACTGAGGTGGATGACGGAGGAAAGGCGGTGGACCGGTGCCCGGTCACAGATAGAGAGGATGTCGTTTGAGACTTTCACGAGCGCAGTCTCTGTACTGTGGGCGGAAACCGGACTGGAGGGGTTCGAGGAGGGAGTGGGAGGAGAGGTGTGTGCGGAGCTGGTGGTGGTGGGTGACAACGGGCAGGTGGAGGAGGCTGCCTGGCGGATGTTGTGAATTTTAGATGAGAAGTAGTCCATGACCTCCTGGCACTTGGCATTTGATACGAAGATTGAGGAGGCCTGAGGGGGGGCACGGAAGAGGCAGTGGGTGGTGGAAAAAAGGATTTTAGGGTTGTGTTTAGCCTCCAAGATGATGTTGGAGTAGAAGATTTAGCCGCCTGGCAAGCTTCCCACTGCTTATCCAGCCGTTCGAGCTGGTATAAGGCGCTGCATGCAATGTGGAGATGTTAATATGACAAAGTGCTTCTCACACCCATCTCTGAGGGCGGGGAGACAAAGCCAGGTATTGTGCTGATTCAGTCAGTCACGTTAACAACAGCTTCACCCTCTCCAGGGCGACGCAGTGTTTTCTGTAAGCAATAGATGTCAATTAGCCATTCAGCAACTCACTGCTCTCACGGAAAGTGAGGCGGGAGGGAAGGTTTTTTGCTTACTGACGCAGTTATTTCCGGATGTGTGTGTGTGTGTGGGGGGGGGGGGGGTGATTGAGACAGACTTTGATCATTGTTTTGCCCACAAAAATACACAGTTGATTCATTTTACAGCATATTCTGTGAAGCACTTTGAGACGCGTTAAACGTGAGAATTATTATTGTTTTGCCTGAGAAGGATAGAAGGAAAAAGAAGGAAATAGAAATAAAGAATAATAATAATAATCCTTGCGTTCGATACACGTCATTCGAGACCGTCTCAAAGCGCGTCACAGAATGCACTGTAAAGCGAATTAACTGTATATTTTGTGGGCGAAGCGCAGCAGCGTCCCACAAACAGCCATGGGTTGAAGTGACCAAATTATTAGTTTTTTGAAGGGATTATTACCCCCGGAAAGCGATCCACCAATCGACTAACAACCGGGTTCCTACTTACTGCTGGGCAAACAGAGCCGTGCGGAGTAAGGAAACTTGCCTAAGATTTTGCCCTGCCCGGGAATCGAACCCGGGTCTCCTCGCTTGCGAGGCGAGGGCTCTAACCACCGAGCTACAGGACTCCACGTAATAAATGCAATAAAAGGTTCCAGGAGGGAGAGAGTTAAAAGCTGCTCTGTAACCGGATACCCTTTTCAGCTGCTTTTGGCCCCACTGCCATCCGAGCTGCCCTCCCACAGTTCTGAGTGGGTAGCCTGGGGCTGGGGTGCGGCTGGGCGTGCGCGTGTGTGTGTGGGTGTGGGGGGGGGATGAGGTCGGAGTCTAAAAACCTCCTGTCTGGGCTGGTCGCACAGCACTTTGGGACGAGACTGCGAGCAGGAGAGGGGCGCTCAAAAGTACTCTGAACAGCCTGAAAACTTTTGTGCGTGTGCAGGTGGTCCCGCGTGTGCAAGCGTACGTCTGTGTGCGTACGTGTGTGTGTGTGTGCGTGTGCGTGTGCGTGTGCTTCTCTCCAGCTTCAGCTCAGTTAAGCTAATAAGCCGAGTTACACCGAGTTGTGTTGAGTTGGGAGCTGAGTGAGTGAGTGAGTGAGTGAGCGAGTGAGCGAGTGCTGTGCCAGGCTGTGTGCCCAGGGTTTCTCATCATGTTTAAGTGTGGCATTGCCTACCCCCGTTGTCGCTGGATTCTGCCCCTGCTGTTGCTCCTGGCCCTGATCTTCGATATCATCGCCCTGGGAGCCTCGTCGGGCTGGGTCGACTCTAAGTACCACTATGCCTCACTGTGGAAGCAATGCCGGGGGAGAGACCCCAACTGGGAATGCACCTCGCTTATGGACTTTGGTAAGTGACCGGGCGGGGGACACGAGGGGGAATCCTGTAGCTCAGTGGTTAGAGCAAGCGATAGGACCCGGGTTCGATTCCCGGGCTGGGCGAAACCTTAGGCAAAATTTCCTTACTCCACACACTCCTTGACCAGCAGTGAGTAGGAACCCGGTTGTTATTTGACTGGCGGATCACTTTCCGAGGGTTAATAATCCCTTTTAAAAAATAATAATTTGGTCACTCAATCCACCGCCGTTTGTGGGACACCGCTGTGCGCAATTGGCTGAGTTTCGCCCACAGGCAATTCACTTTTGCAGTATGTTCTGTGAAGCGCTTTCAGACGTGACCAGATGCTGTATCAAACACAAGGATTATTTGTTAAAACAACAACTTGGGAGTGTTGAGACAACGTACGTTACACTGGAGAGGGAAAGAGAGACACTCTAACAGCGAGAGAGTCAGAGAGACTAACATTGAGAAAGACAGAGAAAGGGGGAAAGAGAGAGAGAGAGAGAATGACGGTGAGAAAGACAGAAAAACAGTGAGTGTGCGAGAGAGAGGGGGGAGGAGAGAGAGAAACTTATAGTGAGAGAGACAGAGCGGGGTTGGTGGGGCGGGGGGAGAGAGGCTAACAATATGTGTGTGTGAGAGAGAGAGAGCGAGAGAGAAAACCCGAGACAGATAGAGGGAGAGAGAGAAAGAGACAGAGAGAAATCTACCTATAGAGAGAAACAAATGTGAATATCCTCTCTGTATCTATAGAGAGATACAGCAAATAGCCAGAGAGGCACATCGGGTATACACAGCGTAAGTAGACAGAGTGGGGGGATGGGGGGGGGAGAGACTTAGTGAGAGACAGAGGACATTTTTTGTTGGGCAGCCGGGTGTCTGACACATGCGGAAACCCAACACCAGGCTAAACAGCATCCAAACCAAACTGAGAATTCCATGCATCCCAACTACACCTGGAAATCCCAGAGATATTTATTGGAATTGAATGGTCTCTCTCTCTCTCTCTCTTTCTCTCTCCCTGGAGGGACACATCCTGTTTTACCTAATTCAGGAAAGTATTAGGCGCAGGTTGGCAGGAGCCAAGGCTTGGGGACCCCAGAGTGTGCGTTGGGGTGTCTCCTGGAGTCTAACCAGCTAAACCGCACAGCTTACCATTGCTATCACAGCGCCTTGGGACGTCCTCCTGACGTGAAACGCGCTTTATAAATGGAATCTTGTTGTTGTTGTTGTTGTATCACTGCCTGGCCAAGCTTTCTGGCTGCCTGTCCAGCTAGGATCACCCTACCTATTAGGACTATGGCTTCCAGGGTTAACAGGAGCTGAGTGGGCGGATTCCCTGCCCCCAGTGACTGGTCTGCCCTCCCAGGTCCTGCCGATGAGCCAGGCTGGGCAGTGCCCTGGAATACTGTGGACCTGCCTGGCTCAGGAACCAGGAGACCGTCACCGAGGGGTGGCTTGATTCCGACATTCCATTGCCAAATATGTCACCTTGGAGCCAGTTCAGCTTCAAGGAGACCCCACTTACCTCTCTCCCCTCCCCTCCCCCAAAAGGACAGTCACTAGTTGGTCATTTGACATCCAACAAGCGTGGGTTTGAGACATCACTAGGTGGATTGTAGGTTCCAAGTTACTCTCTGTGAGCTTCCCGATGGGCAATACAGCTTAGGGTGAGGGCATTGCCATCATCTTCCTGCCCACAGCTCGGGCACACTTCCCTTCCCATTGAGCGATAGGGATTGACTATAATCAACCACTAAACTGGACTTGAGGTCAGGCTGCTCTATGAGGTGGTGTAAACCGTGTCATATCAGTTTGTTTAACCTGAAGTGTCCTGCCAGTCCGGGCCAGGCCTGGGTTAACACTACATCCTGAGCTGGGCGGGTCCTCATGACTCCAGGGCTCTGCTTACCATATCCTTCCTACCCTCCATCCCACAAATACACAAATATACAGTCAATTCACTTTACAGTGTGTTCTGTGAAGCGCTTTGGGACGTCCTCTCGACGTGAAAAGCGCTATATCAAATGCAAGGATTATTATTATTATTATTATCCAGTGCCTGACCAGGACCATTTTGCTCCACCTTCATCACCTCATCCGCCTGCGACAGTACCTCACCCCCAGTGCAGCCAAACCCCTTGTTCAAGCCTTCGCCACCTCCAGCCTTGACTATTCCAATGCGCTCCTCGCCAGTCTGTCTCCCCAGCTCCACTATCTACAGACGACAACTGGTTCAGAACTCCACACCACCCGTATTCTCACCCGCACTAAACTCCATCCCCCTATCACCCCAGTACTCGCCTCTGGCTTCCCTCTCACAGAATGGATTCATTTCAAGATTCTCTCACTCATCTACAAGTCCCTGCCTGCCCTGTACCTCCCTACCTCTCCAGCCTGCTTACTCCCAAACTATCTGCTATCTCAGCTCGGCTGACTCCGGGCTCCTACTTGCCTCTTTTGCCCTCAGCTCCGCCATTGGCAGACGTGCTTTCAGCCACTTTGCCCCGAAACTCTCTCCCACATCCCCTGTGCCCTTCCCCTTACATCCCCATCTTCAGATCCTACCTGAAGATCTTCCTCTTCCTCTTGCCTATGGTTATCTCCCCTCCCCCCATCTCGACCACTGTTAAGCTCTCCAAGACACTACCCTGAGTGAAGGTCGCTATATAAAGGCAGCTTAATGCCCAGCTAGATTGGCTCATCGGCAGGACCTGGAAGGGCAGACCAGTCACTGGGGGCAGGAAGTCATCCCACCCAGCTCTAGTTAGCCCTGCAAAGCGAAGCCCTAATGGGTAGGGCGGTCCTAGCTGGACAAGCAGTGGGAAAGCTTGCCAGGCAGTGATATCAATGGCAAACTGTGGTTTTAGGTGGTTGGACATCTGCAGTTACCCCAACACACACTCTGGAGTCCCCAAGCCTCGGCTCTCGCCAACCTGCACCTAAATTGGGTAATTTACCCAGAATTGAATGTGTCCCCCCCCCCAGGGAGAGAGAGCGCATTCCACTCCAGCAATCTATCTCTGGGATTTCCAGGTGTAAGGTGGGAGCTTGGTTTGGAGACTCTTAAGCCTGGCGATGGGCTTCCATATGTGTCAGACACCTGGCTGACCAAAAAAAAGAGACCCACATATGTTGGGGAAGCTTGGACACCAGGCTGACCAAAAGAAAAAACTGTCACAGGTGCCATCCTTTGGATGAGATGTCAACCGAATGACCAATGACCTGTCTGTGCCTGGTCAAGAGAACGTTAAAGATGCCATGACGCTATTCAAAAACAGAAGGGAGTTCCTCTCTCTCTCTCTCTCTCCCTGCGTCCTGGCCAACAGTCCCCCCGATAAACTTGTTCACTCACTTCATGACTGTTTGTGGGACGTTACTGTGGGCAAATTGGCTGCCGGGTTCGCCCGCAGAACATGCTCTTTCTTGCTGTCTTTCTCTTTTCCTCGCTTTGTGTCTCACTCTTTCTCACTCTCTCTCTCTCTCTCGTTACCAGACTCCACAGTGACACAGTTCACTTGTTTGCTGGAGACGGTAGTTAAGGTGTTGAGTGATATCAGTGAGTGAGTCAGGCCTGAGCTGACTGGCTCTCCCTCCCTGGGTGTGTATCGCTGTGCAGAGGAAAGCTCTGTGTCATCATCTCGAGCTGTTTTCCAGCCTTCATTTCAATTGAGAAGAAACATTTGCATATTTTAGTGTTGGCTCAGTCGGTAGCGCTCTCTCTCTCTCTCTCTCTCTCTCGCAGTTCAAGCCCCACTTCATTGCTGACCCTCCAATGCTGTGGGTTCAAGCCCCACTTCATTGCTGACCCTCCAATGCAAGACCTTTAGGTGAGACATGAAACCAAGATCATGTCTGTACCTGTTCAGGTGGACGTTAAGGATCCCATGACACTCGTAAAGAGAAGGGAGTTTCTCTCTCTCTCTCCCTCTCTCCCGGTGTCCTGGCCAACAAATCCCCAAATAAAATTGGTGACGGACTCCATGGCTGTTTGTGGGACGTTGCTGTGTTCAATTGGCTGCGTTTCACCCGCAAAATAGTCATCCACTTTACAGTAAACCTGAAGAGCTTTGAGATGATTTGGTGATGCGAAAGTTTCTGTATGTTCGGATTGTTGTTATATTATGATCATTAGATGTCTCCCTGCTCACTCACGCTCCAGAGGCCTGAAATTCCACCTGGTCTCAGCCTGTAGGACCGCTTATGCCCCCCGCATGTAACACAACGCCACACATGGTTCTTGTGAAGTGTAGTGACTGTGTGTTTGTAGGTGAACGTGCCAACCAGAGATCAAGGTTAGGTTAGGGTGGGGGTGGGTGGGGTGTGGAGGTGGGATGGGGTGTGGAGGTGGGGTGGGTGGGATGGGTGTGCGGGGTGTGGAGGTGGGGTGGGGTGTGCGGGGTGTGGAGGTGGGGTGGGTGGGGTGTGCGGGGTGTGGAGGTGGGGTGGGGTGGGCGGGGTGTGGAGGTCGGGTGGGTGGGGTGTGGAGGTGGGGTGGGTGGATGGGGTGTGCGGGGTGTGGAGGTGGGGTGGGCGGGGTGTGGAGGTGGGGTGTGCGGGGTGTGGAGGTGGGGTGGGTGGGGTGGGGGGTGTGGAGGTGGGGTGGGTGGGGTGGGGTGGGGGGTAGGAGTGCAGATTCCAAAGTAAAACCACAGCTTACGAGTTTTCTACAACTCAGCCTGAGTGTAAATGTAGAGATGAGGTGGTGTCTCAAGCTGAGAGCGGGTGGAATTTGAGGCCTCCGATAATGCCAGTTGCAGGCTAGTCAGTACACAGGCCCGTCTGCCTGTCTGTGTCTGCTGGTGCCTGGCACTGAACCCCCCGCCCCCCCTCCTGCCTGTCTGTGTCTGCTGGTGCCTGGCACTGAACCCCCCGCCCCCTCCTGCCTGTCTGTTCTGCTGGTGCCTGGCACTGAACCCCCCGCCCCCCTCCTGCCTGTCTGTGTCTGCTGGTGCCTGGCACTGAACCCCCCGCCCCCCTCCTGCCTGTCTGTGTCTGCTGGTGCCTGGCACTGAACCCCCCGCCCCCCCTCCTGCCTGTCTGTGTCTGCTGGTGCCTGGCACTAAACCCCCCGCCCCCCTCCTGCCTGTCTGTGTCTGCAGAGGCAGCGACCAGACAGGAGGTATGTGGGGAATGAACAGCCAGACAGCTGATGTCAGAAGTCAGGGAGTGTGTGTGGAGGAGGATTGTGCGTGTGAGGGTTTGTATGTGTGTGGGGGGTGGGGGCAGTGTGTGGTGTGTGCATGGCGCGCGGGGGGTGGGGCGCGGGGCGGGGGGGGGGGGAGTTAGTGTGTGTATAAACGGGGGTGTGAGGTTTATCTGTAGATTTTGTTTAGCTATAGAGTGACCGCCCGCACTCCCAATCATTGCTGGACAGAGTTACACTGACCGTACGGCACAGAGACAGCCCGAGTTTACCCTCCATCCCTCTATGCCTCTCTCCCTCGGGGTCCACACTGTGTGGAGTCCTGTAGCTCAGAGGTTGGAGCCCTCACCTTTCAAGCGAGAGGACCCGGGTTTGATTCCCGGGCGGGTCAGGGCGAACCCTTAGTCCAGTTACCTTACTCCACCCGCCCGCCTCTGTTTACCAGCAGTAAGTCGGAGCCCAGTTGTTAGTCGATTGGCGGATCACTTTCCGAGGCTAATAATCCCTTCAAAAATTATAATAATAATCATTTGGTCACTCAATCCACGACCGTTTGTCGGACACTGTTGTGCGCAATTGGGTGCCAGGTTTCATCCAGAAAATATACTGTCACTACACTTTACAGTATATTCTGTGATAAGGCACTGTATAAAATGGAAGCATTATTATTATTATTATTATTATTATTAGTGGGGTGTAAGAGAGTGAAATAGGAAGAGGTTCTTGTGTCCTGGACACCTCTCTGTTTTCTCACACAAACCCCCTCCCCCCCACCCCCCCCCCCCCCCATTACCATTTTCTGAGTATGGTTTCTCTCTCCCACTATCGCCACAATCTTGGATTTCAAAACCGAGAGGAATTTAATCTCTCGATCGGCATTTCTAACTCTATATTTGTGAACGAAGGGAATCGGGAGCAGGCAGAGGCCATTCAGCCCGCCAGGCCTGTTGCACCAGTTTATTAGACTGTGGCAGGAATTTTAATCCCAATTCCCTGCCCCGTTTCCCTATATTACCACCACTCTCCTCCTGGGGGGGGGGGGTTATCGGGGTAACCGAGAGAGAGCGCATTCCACTCCAACTATCTATCCCTGGGATTTCCAGGTGTAGGTGGGAAGTAGGGAATTCTCAACGTGGTTTGGATACTCTTAAGCCTGGGGATGGGTTTCCACATAACCATGCGTAACAGACACCCAGCTGACCCCCTGCCACCCCAAAAAAAAATTCACCACCTCATGCCCACCCTCCCCCCACACCTCCCTCTCCCTTGGGTGGGGTCTGGCCGGGTCTGTGTCACAGCTCCCTGGGCCACACGAGTCACAGATCCGAGTTTCACCCCACCCTACAGCCGGGGAGAGGCGGTCTCTGGGTGAACCTGTTCCGAACAGCTGACTGCAGACTAACAGACACGGTAACACCCCGCGTTCAGTGTAAAAACCCATCATCTCCTCCCTCCCACCAGATCCTTTTTTGGCTCCACGCCCCAAATGGGTGACACCCTACATGACGGGTGTAACAGGCCTCTCAAAAACCCGACTGTCCAGCACCCTGGGACATCCTTCTGACGTAAAGGGTGCTGTACAAGTGTAATTTGTTGTGGCTGTTCTGTACAGGCAAGTTGTTGTTGTTGAGTGTGCTGTCTCTTAGACACACACAGCCCGTACAGGTGAGGAACTCTCAATGGTTGGGAGAGAGAGCTGGTTCTACACCTGTCACATACCTGTCTGACCGGAAAAGGCCTATGATTGGGAGGGATTTTAGATGTGAAGTGTCTCGCCTCTGAGTCAGGTTCAAGCCCCACGTCGGGATGAGACGTTAAACCGAGATCCTGTCTCTGCCTACTCAGGCGGATGTTAAAGATCTCCTGCCACACTGCTCAAGGAGAAGAGAGTTCCTCTCTCTCTCTCTCTCTCTCTCTCTCGGTGTCATGGCCAACAATCTCCCAAGTAAAATGAGTTGTGACGAGGCTCTATATCAACTGCAAGGATTATAATTATTATTATTGTATATTGTGATGACAATATGTGCCTCGCTCTCTCCTGTGTGTCTAGGCTGGGCAAAGGCCACAGCTGCTCTGCTGATCATTGGCTGTATCCTGGTGGCTGTCTGTCTCCTACTGTCCTTCCTGGCCCTGTGTAAGAGGGCAGTGGATTTCCTCAGGATCATCGGCTTCATTCTCCTCATCGCCAGTGAGTCTCAGACTTTTATTCCTTCTTAAACAACAATTTACATAAACCCAGTGGCTTCCAGGGCGTCCCAGGGCGCTGGACAGTGAGGAGTTTGTACCTGAACAGAGGGTTGGGATCGGGGGGGGTGCGGGTGGAAGGAGGAAGGGGGTGAGGGTGGGAGGATGGCCGAAAAATCAGTAAAGAGGAGGAACCCTTTGGAACTCCATCCCACAGGGTCTCCGCCTCACCCCTCACTTTCCTCCTTCAAGGCCTGTGTGTGTTGGTGTGTGATGTGTGTCTCAAGACCTTTCCCTTTGACTGTGCCTTCAGCTCCCCTCTCGACTCTCTACCCCCTCCTCTCTCCCTCCCTCCCTTCCCTCCCCTCACCCTGACCATTTCCCCCCTTGCTCGGGTCCCGACCCAACTGTCCAGCGCCTTGGGACGTCCTCCCGACGTGAAAGTCGCTCTATAAATGAAATGTTGTTGTTGCTGTTGTTGTGTACGTCGTCGTGTGTGTTGGTGCGCGATGTGTGTTGTGATGTGTTGTTTGTGTGTTGTGATGGTGTATGTTGTTGTCGTGGCTGACGTTCCCCTGCTCTCCGCCCACAGTCATCTTCCAGTTCATCGCCCTCATCATTTTTCCGGTCAAGTTCACTGAGACTCAGATCCAGGACGGAGACTACGAGTACAGCTGGAGCTATGGCTTTGGGTGGGGAGCCACCATCCTGATGATGGGCTGTTGTCTCTTCTTCTGCTGTTTGCCCAAGTACGAGGATGAGCTGTACGGAGACGCCAAGCAGACCTACATCATCGGCTAGGACCCCACAGACACCCAGACACCGCCCGCACGCAACTCCATGCCCTGCCACACGCAAAACACGTACACACCTTCGAGCACTCGCACAGGCACACGCACGTACACCGACACTTACACTTAACGCGCACGCGCAACACGCACATTCTCAGTTGGACGCGCCCACACACAACATACATAACAGCAACCAATTAACAGCAAATTACATTTGTATAGCGCATTTCACGTGGGATGGACACACATACATGTGCACACATACATGCCACATACATGCACGGGCACACCCATACACACATGTCCTTATACCCCACGCAATCTCATATGCATTTATTTTTCTATCCACACACGGGGCGGAGGTGGGGGAAGGCGCTTTCCATTACACATGAATTTCCGTGTGTGGGTGGGATTTGTATGTGGAACTCTCAGTCTGGTTTGGATAAACTTAATCACGGTGACGGTTTTCCACGCGTGTCAGGCACCTGGCTGGTCACGGTGACGGTTTTGCACGCGTGTCAGACACCCGGCTGATCACGGTGACGGTTTTCCACGCGTGTCAGACACCCGGCTGATCACAGTGACGGTTTTGCACGCATGTCACACACCCGGTTGATCACGGTGATGGGTTTCCACGCGTGTCACACACCCGGCCGATCACGGTGACGGTTTTCCACGCGTGTCACACACCCGGCTGATCACGGTGACGGTTTTCCACGCGTGTCACACACCCGGCTGATCACGGTGACGGTTTTCCACGCATGTCAGACACCCGGACGACCAAACAAAAGAACTTCATGAGAGAATTTGTTTTATTTTATATACATTTATATCAAAGGCAAATACAATAAACCCAGCGACACAGAACCTAAAACGCTGCACAGCTCAGAACTGTGAGACTCTCTCGGACTCTAACAATGTGGAAACACAGGAACAGGACATTTGCGGCGTTTCGATGGTTTAGTAGATGCCTGAAAAACATTTCCAGGCCCTCTTCCCCCCCCCCCCCCCATCACCCGCCCCCCGCCTTCTCACTCCCTTCTCCTGTAACATTGAGACAACCGGCTTCATTCACTGGGACCCCCCCACAACCTCACTGAGGACTGGGAACAAGAGAGAGAGAGAACGAGAGAAAGAGGATGGGAGAAAGAGAAGAGAGGGGGAATGAGAGAGGGGGAAAGATGAGAGAGAGAGAGAGAGAGAGAGAGAGAGAGAACAAGAAAGCAAGTGAGAATGTGATGAGAGAAAAGTGAGAGAGGAAACGAGAGAGCTCTGTGACCTTGTCAACATGAGGGGTGCGATGTAAATGCAAGTTGTTGTTGAGAGAGAGAGAGAGAGATATAGAGAGAGAGAATGAGAAAACAAGCGAGAGAGAGAGAGAGAGTGAGGGAGGACGGGAGAGTGAATGGGAAGGCCGCCACCTTCCAACTAGGGATTCGGGGATTAAAAAAGTAAAACTAAAATAAAAACACACAAAGTCGACGTTGGAGATCACAGGCGGAGTCGCCTGTCCGGCGGGAATTCCGGAGATTGGGGGAGAAAGGGGGTCGGGGGGAGCGGAGTATCTGCAAGCATAAATTGTTGCCTTATTGTGACCCCCTCCCTCCGACCTCAGAGCCCCCCCACTCCCCCCGGGCCAGAGGTCAGCTCGGAGCTGGGGAACCCTGACTGGATCAGGTCGGTTCCCCCCCACCCTCCCAGGGCTCAGCTCAGCTCGAATTCTCGCCCCAGATGGGATGATTGGGACTCGGCCTGGGAGCCTTGGGGCGGGGTGGGCTGTGCGGGGGGGGTGGGGGGGGAAGGGGGAGATGGTCCTCGGTACCGAACGGCGTGAGATCACACGATACCAAGCATTGTGATTTTCACCCC